GAAAGATCTGATTAACCAGAGAGAGAAAAAACACATGTTTAATGTAAAAAATATGTGTTTAGAATTTATTTTTTCTTTTCGCTTAATTACATTCAGTGTATCTTTGTATTTTCCTTGCAAAATAAAAAGGTATATAACTCATTAGACATCTAGAAGTTTACATAATTAGATACATACAATTATTGTATTATGGATAACACATAAAAGAACTAATTATGTATGTGATGACTGCATTTAAAGGAAGTAAAAAATTTATTGATAATTTTTTTTTTATTAAATTCTTTTCCTTGGACCTTGGCTGATCTATCACACCATCTGTGCAGTATTTGTGTTCTAGGCATAGTGAACAAATAACTACCGAAGAGCTATAAAAGGGTTTCAATCAAATTAATGTTTTCTGAGAAATTTTCATAGTAAACTTGCCTAGGTTAACCTGAGTCTGAAGAATGTTGAGTAAGCAGTATGATCAAGACCATTTGTATAAGCCAAAGGATATGTCTTGTTAAATATATAGTTGTTTAGTAGCTACCTTGTCTACAGTTTAATTTCGGTACAATTGGGACTGTTGTCCCTTAAGAACAAAATATGAATACAGATTATATGTCTGTGTGGCTACAATTGAATTGTATATTTACAATGAAAGTTGACTTACGATAAAAATACAGAAAAGAGAAAAAAAAGAACAAGTAAATTGTACATATGTATGAGAAACTAAAATAACCTTAATAAATTGAGGTACTCTCTGGTGGTGCTCAGATATTTCTCTGAGATATATTTCACAATCATTCGGATTGAGAAAGGAGTAGGTGCTTAAAGAGGAGTGGTTTAAACGAGGAAACTGATTGAGCGTGTCGAATATCAGGTGGGATGGAATTCCAGAGGGAGGCGGCTTGTATTGCAAAGGATTTGTCAAACGCAGCAGTTCGGTGAGGAGGAGGATAGAGGTCGGAAGTACGAGATCTGGTGGGACGGGATTGGATGGAATATTTGAATTGTAAGCTGTGAAAAATGTAGGAGGGTCGATGGGTTCTAATAATTTGGTACAGAAAGGTGGCTAGGAAGTACTGACGGCGATAGGATGGGTAGAGCCACCTCAACTCAGTGTAATACTGGGTAATATGCGTATCCCTTGAGATTCCGAAAACAAATCGTAGTGCGCAATTCATTAGGCGTTTAAGTTTGGCCTCGGAATCTCCCGGGAGTCCACCGTACACCATACAGCCGTAGTCGAAGTGGGGGAAAACAAGGGAGGAAACTAGGAGTTGACGGGACTTATATGGAAGGAGATATCGTAGACGATTGAACTGTTTTAGGGTGGAGATAGTGCGACGGGAAATTTGGGAGATGTGAGGTTTCCAGGATAGGGACTGATCGAAAGTAACACCTAGGTTTTTAACGGTGGTGTAGAATAAGATAGGTGAGTTGTTCAGGAAGAGATTGGGAGATACTGGGGAGGATTTGAGGAGTGAAGGGGATCCGATCAAGATGGCTTTTGTCTTCTCGGCGTTCAGAGTGAGCCTATTGAGGTTTGCCCAAGCACTTATTCTGTCAATATCTTCCTGAAGTTTTTGAGTGGCATCTGAGATATCTGTCGGATTAAAGGAGAGGTAAATTTGAATGTCGTCGGCATACAGGTGGTAATGACAGTGCAGGATAGAGGATGGGAGGTCATTTATATAGATGGAGAAAAGGGTGGGGGATAAGGAAGAGCCTTGTGGGACGCCTCTGGTCAGAGGTAGAGATTCTGATGGTGGGTTATTAGGAATTACAACGTACTGGGAGCGACCGGTTAGGAAGGATTGGAACCAATTAAGGGAACTAGAAGAAAAAGAGATATTTTTAAGTTTGGTTAGGAGGATGTTGTGGTCTACTGAATCAAAAGCTTTGGAGAAGTCTAGGAGAATAAGGATGGTTAGTTTCTGCTGATCTATGGCTGTGTGAAGGTCTTGGGAAATTTTGATTAGGGCAGACTGAGTAGAATAACCAGGCCTGAATCCAGACTGGTAGGGATTTAGGAGATTATTGTCCTCTAAAAAATGGGATAGCTGGGATTGGACTAACCGCTCTAATGGTTTTGAGAGGTTTGAAAGGAGGGAAATCGGTCGGAAATCATTAGGAACTGATGGGTTTGAAGTTAAACAAGATACCTATAAAACTATTACATGGAACTATACCAATGTAAGATGGACAGCATAAAAAAGATTAATCGAAATTACAACATTAACATATTATTTAAAAATTGTTTTCAATTGCTTGTTTATTTATTCTCTTGTTTATTATAGTTGCTAAATCCACAATTTCATTTCAGGACAAACAAGGTACCATTGTACCATAAAATACATTTCAACAAAAAATTTTCTGAGCATGGTGAAGTTCAAGATGTAATAATTTGTATTTGTGCTTTTAAGGTTTGTGAGAAGTAAAAGTTGGGCACATGGTTCGTTGTAAAATCGTATTAATACTTTATTGCAAGTTGAACTTTTTGTAGTGGAGAGACTTCTATGGTCAAAAAGATTATCAATCTCATCAGAAAAAAGTAATGCCTCTCAAGGATGGGAAGAAATCACTGCTGGAAAACTTAATAATTTTTAATCATCCATTACTGTTAACCACAGACTCAGGGAAATTTTAGTTAAGCTATTTTAATGCTCCATCCCTTCTTGAGCAAAGTAATGAAGTTGGCTCTTAGCTGAAGCTACCTAAACAGGAGGTTTATATTAATACCATTAGTGAAATATTACTTCAGCACAAAGTTACGAATCTCGGATTCAAGGTTCTGGATAAATCGTAGGAAAATATCAAAAGGCTTTAAAAAAAACACCATGCTATGGTGACAACTATGAGTCTTTTTATGAATTTGCTAAAGGTTTCTGAAAAAGAACGCTGACATTCACGAAGGCTTATCCACAAGCATTATTCACATAATTTGCTTAGGAGCTCTACAACCAGCCGCCAGGCCTAGTCAAAGGAGATGAGGGTCTTTCTATTATTATACTGCCTAATAAGGAGGAACCTCCTTGTGAATCTGCTACCGTTTTACATTTTATATCTTCGAAAGTTCCTAAGTATAATAGAACCATCTCTCCCGCGGAGATGCTTACCCCATACATTACTGAACATCTAACGACAAAAGATCTCTAATTATATAGTTTCAATGCCAACTTAGCTATCCAAAGATAATAATCTGAACGTTTATGACTTACTGATAGCTTAATTAACTTTTTCAATGAAAGATCTGTAGATATAACATTAATACAAAAACATAGCATTTTATAAATCCAAGACATTCCTTTTAGACTGTAAATACGAACAGGTATCCATTCCATAGTTCAGGTGTCGTCTAAAACTATCACAAACACAGTGAGCAGTAACTGTGATTCTTCGACATTGTATTTATAAAGATGTTCTGCCTGATTCGTATTTTGAGATAATATTTGGCCATGACATTCAAATTTGGAGATTAAGTTCGTACTAGAAATCCCCAGTGATGGTATATTGTAATCTGATCGCTGCTAGTGTAGAACCAGCTAAGCTTATCCCATATTATAAGTCTGTTATGATAAAACCTTGAAGGGCTCTACGTCAGACTGTATTCATTGAGCATGATATTCAACCGTTATTAGAAGAAGAAAGCAAACCTCCAAGACGGGCTCAACTATTTTTGGTTGTATGAGAACCATAGAAGAATATTGGTAGTGGATTATTTTAAGTTATCAATAAACAAGGTTGTTGAGCAGGCTAACGCTTGAACAAAATACGCGTTACCCAGCAATCTAATAAATCGGAGATTTTGAATTCTAATTCCGATTTTCAGGGAGGCTTTTAACTCTAATATTAATCTCTCGCCCTCATCCCTTACTTAGGAACAATTCTGTATTGCCGAAAAGGAGTGAAAAATAAGTTATCAATAAAAAATGTGCCAAATGAAGATCTGGCTTTTTAAAGAGGTATTACCGACCAAGTGAGAAGAGAAATTTACCTATAAAACAACGATTTTTTTTTTACGACAAAATTCAAGATAAACACAATTGAAATTTAAATTATTTCAATACTGCTGCATCGAAATATCGTCTTACATTAGTCATGTATAAGAGTTCTTTATTTAAAACAACTATTCATCTTGTAGATTACATGATTAGTTATGAATCCATCCAAAGGTTCCCATCCCCCCAAGATCGATGCCACAGAAATTCCTCCTCTTCCAAGAATTTTATTTATTTCTCTTTAAAAAAAATGTACAAGCAAAAATATAATTAGGAAAATCTTAGGTCAATTGCATTTGCGGTGGTCTGATCCATGTTTTCTCCTTGTTTGCTGGTTTTTGATACCTTTCTCTTCGAAAATTCATAACCTCGTAGAAATGTGCCCCTCTCAAAAATTTTAATAAACTTGCGTCATAAAATCTCCTTCTGGGGGCCCCAGAATCCATCCAACCGACCCTGATCGCCTTGAACTTTTGAGAAATAGTCCGACCCCAGTAAATTTCTTTACGTAGGACATTTAGTACGTTGCACATTATGTTCAATCTATTCCCAAACTTGCTGATAAAATCTGGATCTTATCTACACTATGTCATGAAGAAATCAGACAATGAATTGATTACAGATCACCGATGAATATTAAATATATTGAAGAAAAGATGTATTTTATTCGATTTAACTAAATCGATATAATTTTAATCGTCCATTTGTTACATCAACTTAAAATTTTTATCATTTAAATAAAGATAATAAACGAAAAACCTGATTACACGTTGGTTCTAGATTTTTAAAAATTAAATGTCTACATTCAAGATTTTAATTAATGAATGGAAGCTCTTTAATATTAAAATCATAATTTTAGGCTTAGGCAACCGAAGTAAGAACAGATTTTAGAGTAAAAATATTATATCTAAACTATTTAAGTTTGAAAACTAAGGGTTATGATTGGTTTAAAAAAGATTAGACAGAGATACTATCATTGATTAAGGGGGGTGTCTAGAGGGCCTCTGGGTAGTAGTGAAACAATTGTCAAAGTAGAACACGTCAGTTGGAGGGGGTCATTTCCATCATAAAATAGATGTATTAAACTGTGTCAGGAGAAACACTATGTCTTTACTCGCTATTTTTAATGTGATAGTTCTTGTGCCTTCTTGCTTCAATATTGATAAAGTATTTTAAATAATGTAAGTTCAAAATGTTACTTTTTATAAAATAACTACTAGTTGACTATTGCAATCTAAGCTTGTAAATTTTGACTTTATGTGTTAGTTTTTACTGAGTCAGTGTGTATTTTAGCTGTCATCAAATATTTGTGTTACTTAATCTCAATGATGATGTAGTTTTTTTGCCTTACATTTTCCCCATATGGATGATTTGGTGAATAGTTAATAATATTTAATACTTCAGCCCATTTAACTTCACTTAAATTGACTGCTTCTGCTCTTCTAAATTTGATGTAATGTGGAAATACAAATATTGATATTTTAACGTTTGTTGTTTTGGACATAGATGTATAAGCTTTTAATTTGTGAACATATATGTGTAATACATTTCATGCTGATTTTACTATAATATATTTTGTAATTTATCAACCCCTTCAATTAATGAATGATATGAAACAGTGTAAGGCAAAAGTAACGGAACAGTGCTCTAATTTAATATTTTTCCACTTCGTTGAAGTTGCTTAATTGATATGGAAAATTAATGCCTGCCTACGCACTGGGTTTTTGAGGTTTAGCTGTTATATATAAGTTATAATCTCACAATTTTTTTTTTAATTCGAATTTTAAACTACTTCATTTAATTGGTACTTATGCATGTATGTATATATCTATGTTACAATAAATGAATAGCTTTTATTTTCTTTAGCATATTGTTCCTGTAAACTATAAATTCCTTATGATATAATTGTTTTTTTAAGTTTTGTAAACTATATTTAACAACTTTTACTGATCTAAAGAAATCTGGCTCTGCATAAATTTATAGTATTTGTTTATTTTTAAATTATTAATTATTGAGTTTTAATTTTAAATTACCACATCTAATTTATTTTTTTTAAACTATTAATTATATATTTAAAAACTAAAATACTATTAAGATCTGCATATTTATTATAAGAATTTATTATTTGGTAATTTTAGATGTTCTAGTTATGAGTAAGTTAACAAAAAGACGTGACAGTGCTGGAAGTGACGCTTCCTTAAGCAGTAGAATACCTATTTCCTTTACTCCAACATTACCTAGGAAACAACGGAGTAATCTTAGCAGACATCAAAGCTTAGTAAGTTATTTTCCTTTTCATTTATATTTTCTTTTTTATTGTACGTTATTAATGGTATAATTATAAATTTATTTATAATATATCTTTTCCTAATGTTTAATTTAAAGATTTATCAAAATCCTATTGGTTAGATAAAATAAATAACGTTTAAAAATCAAATTTTGAAAGATTGTAGTTTGAAGGACATCAGGATTTTAACATTGACATTTTGGGATGTTTTCATTATGCAAGCATGTTATGAAATTTAAGGATGCAAGTTATCGAACTTATACTTTAACTATAAACTGAATTCACATGGATAGAAATTGTTTACTAAACAAAATGATTTCTCCCTTGTTTCCATTTTTCAAGTTATTGACCTCTATTTATGATAACATTTTCTTTTCTACTGGCAGTATTTAACTTTTATCAATTGTGTTCCTTCATTCCGCCATTATTTGTAATATTAGTGTTACTTTCTTTATTCTGTATAGTTTTTTTTTTTTAATATCCAAAAGTAATACGTATTTCATGAAATCTTTAAGTTTTTTGTTTTTAATATTTTAGTTTACTAAATACATCCAATTAATAATATTCAAATCAAAAGAACTAATTTAGACTTGACTTACTATTTGTAAAGTTCAAAAGTAATTTTTTTTCTAATTTAAATTTTTTTATTAATGTGATGCTTGACAACTTTCTCTTCTGTACACTTTCTGTAGTCAGTCTCCTTGGCATTAATTCTGTAAGGTTCTTACAGAAATAATTTTTTATTTAGAAAAAAATTATATTCCTCTTTAATTATTTCCTTATCCGTTAATATTCTCTATAACCCTTTTCCTTTCCAGATTATCATCATATGCATTATTTTTTTATTTGTATGATATGTTTGTTTTTATATTAATACTTATAGCTACAAACAAATACTGCTTCTTTTGCAATTAGTATCTGCTTGTACAAAGTGAGTGTGTCAGAATAAAAACCTATGCTTCTCATGTGATGCATTGTTCTTAAATTATTTAAACCATACTTTTCTTTGTATTTAAGTACTAAGTGCCATTTATTATTATTTTATTTTTTCCTTGTATAGAGAACAATTTTTTTTCATTTTTAAAATTAAAAATGAATCCTATAGTCAATGCTATTAATAATAATGCCTTTTACAGTCAAAAGTTAATAGTCATTTAAATAAAGTGAACAAATAAGATTTTCATTATTAGTAAGAATATTTTTGTTTTATATGATCATCTAAACTTACCAGTAGTATTTTATAATTTATTTTCTTGTTATTTTGTTACTTTTAAATTTGTGATCTTCTATACACTTCCTAAATTCTCTGTCAATAGTTATTCTCTAATTGTTGATACCAATCATAATTAGTTCAAGATCAAGATATGGTTCCAAACAGCTTTTATTTTCATAGAGCAGGATTTTTTTTATAATAGTTTGAAGCAGTGGTTGACATTTTTATGAATGTTCTATTTTAACAGTTCCTGTGAAAATTTTTAGGAAAAAAGTTTTTAACATAAAAGTTCTAAGGAACTTTTTTTATTAAAGTTCTAGATTTACGGTCAAAGTTTAACTTTTATTTGTTTTAGTTCATAAAAAAAGTTCTCTTAAATGGAAAATAAACAGTAATTGGACTTAGATAAGAGTTATAATTTGTCTTAAATTATTACACATGATTATAATGTGTTGTTTGTTTTAGTAGCTATCAATCCAAATAATTTTTTAGATTGATTTTTAGCAAAATCAACAGGACTTTTCAATAAAAGTTCAGTAAAACCTTTATTGGAAAAGTCGCAAGGGAAAAAGTTCTAGTACCAAAAGAACTGAAAAACTACAAACAATAAAATTTCCAGTAATACCAAAACTTAAAAAAAAATAAAAGTATTTTTTCCTTTTCAAGCCCAGGTTTGAAGTTTACATAAAAAAATGAATAGATTAAAAAAAAATGTTTATTTGTTGTTGAACTTGTGTTTTAAGTGTCCTTTGAATAGCTTTACTCATGTAATGTGGAGAGCTTGTTATCAATCTTCATTTGAATGTAGTCGAATACTGAAGTGTATTATAGATGTGAGTCAGTTAATTGATAATAACTGAAACAAACAGTGAATTGCAATTCAGTAGATAATGGTTTTATTATTTTATAATCCATCTTAATCCAAGAAAATAGTAGTCGTATGTTTTTCTTGTTTAGCCCTCAAACATAAATTACAAATACAAGGAAAACTCTACATAATAATTCATAAAGAAATTCATCGAAATAAAAAGACCGAAAATTTGTTCTTACTTTTTAAGAGGAGGTACTTTAAAATATGATGGGTTCAGTGTGTATAGTCGTTGAGCTTTTAACAACTGATGTTTACTGCTGATATACTTATCCTATTGGAGTAAACTATATACCTCCTTATGATATATGAGGCTTATAGCATTGTGACGATGTTTTCTAAAAAGCTTGATTGTAAGGCATTAAGTTTAATTTTGGAAATGGGGAAGTACACAACAAATAGTGTACAAAGTGCTAAAGTAGTTTCTCAGGTTTTTAATTAAAAATAAAAAACTTATGGAATTCTAACTTTTAAATGTTAGAATTATAACCATGGAGGCCAAGAGTATCCAGTTCAGAGCAATCTGAGTTAATTTTAGAATCTTTATGAGCTTTAATTTCTATATTTAAGAAATTCTTATATAGTTTTTATTATAGGATTATTATAGAAAGAAAAAAATCCCTAATAGCCATGGGCTTGGAACAGTATGAGGTTCGTTGCCAACAGAAGCTTCCTTCTATTCCTACATTAAGTGTGCTCCCTATAAAAATGAAAACATATTTTCTGTAATTTGTCACATTTTGTATATGTATCCAACAGAGGTGGTAAAACAGTAAATCTTTAGTTGCACTTCCTAAAATATCTTAAATTGGTTGAAGTATACAGAATATAATGCACATAAGAAAAACGTTTGCAAAAATACTGACTTATGATGAAATAAGTTTTTTAAAATTAGTTACTTAAAATAGATTTATTAGAAAACAACTTTTATATATTAAAAATTGACATTCCATAGCATTAATTTCTTTCATAAGAGTAGTATATGAATTCTTGAGGTGTCACATTGAATTTTTTTTGTTCTTTCCTGAAAAGATACATTTTGACAATGATGCAGTTTCTCATTGAAAATGATGATAAGGTAAATTGATTATTACTGTAATTAATGTAATAATGATTATAAAGGCTTAGATAACCCGAAAGTTTGATGCTGATATTTCCATCCATCGACCACCATCCAAATCCAACCCCACAAGATCAGACTTACCACAGCCGTCCCACCTTTGCTTCAGTCTACCCCTGAATGAAATTACTGTTATTATTCTATATAAAAACTTGATTACAGAGTAATTGTGATTTCTCATTGATATCAATGTTACAGAGTTTGAAACAGTTATTATCTGTTACCAGTAAAATTTCTTAGTATTGAAGACATGTCCAAATTAATTATATTTTTATGTTCTCAATTTTAAACGGGTTTCATAATATTTTAAAAAATATTTTAGGTTTTCTTAAACATAAATATCATTGTTCTTTTATTTATAAATTATGCACTCTTTTGTGTATGTATATACTCTTTTTTTTTAATTTTGTTTATTGTTGGTAAATTTAATGAATTTAGTATTTTCTTAATCTGTATAATTTATTTTCATTATTAACGATTTTTTACAACATGCTGGCATTTGTCATGCCTAAAAGTTCCATACGCTTCTATCTCTAGTCAGTCTCCTTGTCGAAGATCTCTTGCAGCCATACCTTTTTCTATATTCTGTAAACATCTTTTCCTAGGTCATCCTTTTTTTTCTCCTTTCTATCTCATGATGCAGAAAGATTAATTTGGGCCATCACTCCTCTGGCATTCTTTGTAAATGGCCTTACCATTTTATCTTTATTGTTTCTATGTTGTACAGGATTTTTTTTCTTTCTGTGCGTTCTTCCTAATCATTTTGTTGGGAACATGTTGGATTCTGGAAATAGCCTAACAGCTTTTCCAAATGTCTGTATCTAATGATATTATATTTTTCTCTTCATTTGTGGTAATCAGCCACGCTCTAGATCCATATCGACTGACACTTTCCAAAAAGCAATGAAATAGAACCTTCTACATAAAATTTTTACCATGATATCCTTGGAGGATCCTCCATCTTCAGTTACCTATCCACCAAAATATTTAAATTGTTGAATTCTTCTTAATTTCCAATTTCCTGTGGTTAAAGCTGTTGTGTTTTCATGAAATGCCGTATACAGTGTTTTCATGAAATGCCGTATACCGTGTTTTTTACTTGTTCACCTCTAGGCCCCATGCTATATACTGCTCCAAGAGCTTCCTTAGCGTGTAACTGATATCTTCATCATAATAGCTATTGTTGTACCTAGTAAGCAAATCGTTGGGTATTTAGGGATTTATCATTTATCTTTATTCCTATCCTCAGGTATTTTTTCTTCCACATTTTTGAAACCTCTTCAATGTAAAGAATTAAAAACAGTGGAGATAGGAGATAAGGAACATCCTAGTTTGAGTCTTCCAGTGACAGGAAAGTGGTCTGTTAGTCCATTTCTAAGTTTTATCCTCAGTCCAGCACAATTATATAAGCTTTTAATGGATTTTATCAAATAATTCCTTACTCCTAAGTCTACATATTGGAACAGTATCCATAACCTTTCTGCAGATCTATAAAAACTGTGTGTACCTGACTATTACAGACATTTTTCTTTACAATTAGTTGCATTAGTTATAAATATATGATCAATGCATAACCTATCCACATGAAAGCCCGCCTGTTCTTCACTTATTTTTGCAGGACACTCTTCTAGTAATGTAGAACTTGATACTGTATTCTGTATAATATTTTTATATAATATGCTGATGTATGAAACGTTTGAAACAATAAGAAAAGAAAAGAGCAATAATGGAGTAGTTTCTGTTATAAAATTTTAACTATTTTTTTTTTTTTTTTTTTTAGCATTCGATCAGAAACAGTCGAAGTGATGATGTTGATTCAATCTGCAGTGGAAGCTCTTCAATTTGTGAACATAGCCATTTTGCAAAGAATGGAAGTACTTATAGTGGAAGAAGCAAACGTTACATAGTTCATTGCAGCCCTCAAGCTACTGATTCTGAAGATTATTTGACTCCAACTCAACGTGCTAATGCCACGATACGCAAACTAAAGGTTTGTTAAATTATCTTTCTAAACAAATGTATTCACTGGAAAAAATATTTATTTAAATTGATTATAATAAGCCTAGAATCTTTGAAATTATTTCATCAATGAAAAGTTTTGTCTTTAGATGAATGCTCTAATTCAAAATGTTACAATTTTTGGATTGTGACACTTTTCTTCCTTTGGCAGAAAACTTTAATTTTATTAAAATTAGATACTTCAGAATATGATTCAAGATTTTATTATTCAATTATGTGTTCTTTATACCAGGGTGTTGGACGATATTGGTGTAAGATAACTTTACTTTATTTTGTGATAGTGAATGTTTTTTGTACTTAAATGATATATTTATATATTTATATATGAATATTCTTACATTTTTCATTGGTAAAAATAGCAACAAAAAATTTAATAATTTATTGATTATTAATAATTTACAATGGAAATTATTATTTTAAAATGGAATTCTTTATGAAGACCTTGTACTTTACACAAATACAATTACACTTGATCATTTCACAATATTTGTAATATAAACCCACAGTTATTATTAAACAATTTTTAGCATAACAATATTACCTTAACACTGATTAGCCCACTTCAGGAGTAAAGAACCTTCTGGACTCACTAACTGGTTTACTGACTTCCAACTTGAACTCAACTAAAATCTATTATGGGGATACTCCTCTATACTAACACAATATGAACTAACCCACATCTTTGAAACTCTTTTTATTTAGTCGCAGATCGTTGCCTAGATTGCCTGATCCATTGAATGTTCTTGAATCTTCTGAATTCAGTGTCATTTAGGTTTCTTGAATAATTTTTGCTATTTTTGTCTCTCTTGTTATATAATTGATAAGTGATGTAATTTAATGTTTTAAAAATTATATTATCACAAATATGATGTGATAAAAAATACATAATCACTAATTTAATGTTATAAAAATTATATAATCACTGATTTAATTTTATAAAAATTATAATTCTTAAAATTTAGCAAAATATGATTGCTACCCAAAAATAAATGTTACAAATAATTAAAAATCATTATAATGCATATCTTCTCACAGTGTTTCCAGATTCTAGGTCTCCAATCTTTTCGAAGCCAGTATGAATAATATAATATTATTAGTTATTATAAAATATTAATATATTGCTATATTTTTCGAATTATCATTAATAAATTATTAAAAAAAAACTTCTGTTACTGTAACTTTTTTTCACCTTTAGGATTTTGATATATTTCAATCAGTATTTTCCATATTTGCTAACATAGCTACAGAACCAATTACTAGTTGTTACATTATAACCTTTAATTAACAGAAGTTTGAGTTATATTGTATTAGAGAAATGATTTGCTACTAGGTTGAGTTTTAACGTATCTTAAACAAAGAATTTTAAAAATCCACTTCGAGTTTGTCTATTATTCCAAAATTTCAAACTATCTGCTATTATTTATCTGCAAGTAATATTTAATATATATTTGATAATGTGAAAAATGAAAAATATTATAGTGATTATTAATAATATTAAATAAAAAATCCACTTGAAAATAAAAACTCTTATTTATTATTGAATGTGTTAAATATTATTTTTTTATTTTATCATTTGGGGGCTCTGGATCAACTTAATACTAATAAGAAAGATTTATAGTAATTATCTGCTATCTGAAATTTCACCAAGTTCCATATAGGCTATCTTCAAATATCAAACTTCAATTAGAAAAACATCTCATGTTATTAATTTTAATCATATTAAAAAGAAAAAATATGTATTTATGAATAGTGTTTTGAGTAGACTAAACACATATTTTCGCTTAAAAGTACTTGGTGATATCATTTTATGATATTCCTCTGATCTGCGTACCCTGATCTGCAGTGTATGCTGAGCGATGCCCAGTCCGAAGTGGCCTCTAGAGATGAAGAGATTGCTCGTCTCACAAGAGAGCTGGTTCAGCTGAGGCTCGGTAACGTCGAGAGCTCTGGTCATGGGTAACTAACCACTAACTCTTTTCTCTAGTTTTATTTTATTTAACACGATATACTACAATTATCACTTAGTCTTATTTTCACTTCTTATACTTTTTACCCTGAATGCTTGTCTTTCTATTCTATATAATTCCATAACTATTATCATTATACTAGACCACATTTTTGTGGTAGTATTAATAATGCATGTAAAATTATTATGTATTTTTCTTTATTTTTTCCACTAATAATTTAAACGATTACATGAATGAATTTACCTTGTAATATTTCCATTTTTAATTAACAAACAATAATTAATTTTGAACATCACAAATTTTGTTCTTAGTAAGCATTTAATATAAAAATATTTCAAATAACAAAACACAAATAAAAATTATTTCTAAAAAAGTATTTATATTAATGCAAATTTGGCCCAACTAGTGGTCTGCAGCCAACATATGTCCCTCCATGTTGCATTTTGCGGTCCAGATGATTATATATTTCTGTTGAAATGTTTTTTTGTATATATGTATATGCGCAAGCTCAACTACAAAATCCTTATAGTTGTATTCTTTTTTTTTATTTGTTTTACATTTTTTTAAAGTATGTTACCCTAAATTGTGACGTTATGTACTGTTACGTGAAGCCATTTGGGTTGGTCAGGCCTAGTTTCATCCATTACTTTATTATCCAGACCCTAAATAACTATGTGATATGCCTCAACACTTAAAGAATGACAAAGAAAAATTCCTTGTAGGCTTGATAGAGTAGACGGTTTTGTCATTGTCATTCTAGGTTTCTCATGTACATGAATTCTTTCAACATTTTATGGTTTATTCTGCCTTACAAAGTCTACTTAATTTAATCGCTGTAATATCTATATCACTCAAAAGGTTGTTGTGTGGTAATCCATTAGAAAATCTTTGGATTATTTTAGAAAAGTTGACATTGAAAGTGTTTCAGTGTTTCTATGGTGTGTCAATTACAATTTTCAATAGCTTTACTTTGCTGGAAATTACATTCCACGTTTGTAGTTATTTAATCTCTCATTCGTCTGAAGATTTTATCAAATGAACAAATTATTATTCTGGTTTTTACTTCTATGTGGCTCAAATTTAAAGTTGTGTGTCTGTAATTCAAAGGTGTAAACAATTTGACTTTTTCATCATAAAGATTTAATTACTACGGAATATATTATATTATATAAGGCTGCTGAATAAGTTTTTTTTTTTTTTTTTTTTGTGAGTAAACCCAAAATATTACTTTGTAAAAATCTTTTCATCCATCTTGATGTTTCAAAACTGTTGTAAAAGACTTGCGAATTCTTCCTTCTGAGTTCCTTGTTTTTGAAAATGATTCATCACAGTTTCATAATAATTTTTTTATGTCAATGCATTCCTTTTACTTTAGTTATACCTACATATGTACAGTTTTAAAAAAATATCTGCCTCTATATTTTAAATTATTAATTACTATTATCGATTATTAGTTCATACTAAATTACATTAACCCATTTATGCTGGGTGCTGCGAAATTGCACCATTGGGAATGTTTACTTGTGAAGGTCTGTTTCTCTCTCTCTATTTTCTGAAAATGCCTATTGTTGATTTTTATCAATATTAGGGTGATTCTCATTTCAGGGGCAATTTTAGTCCATTACAACTTTTACGTGATTAGTTAAGTCTAACTTGATTTTTTCCTCCTCTGTTATACGGTGAAGAAGTATTTCTTCATAATGAAATATTAAAGAATAATGTGATTTTATAATTACTTAATGCATATTGTCCCACTCTTAGTTTTCTAGTAAACAATTATTTTTTTACCTTTTGAAACCTATGTAAAATGACAGTGAAATTTATTTCCACTTCTAAAGAATAATTAAGACATTTTGAATTATATATATTTTTTAACTTTTGTTAACAGTGAAGTATGTTTATGTATTTTCAAACATTATTCCATTATTTTGATGACATTACCAAACAAAAAACATAACATCAGATATTTAAGCGTTGAAAATAGGGAAAAGTGGAGAAATTTCTTCAGAGTGTAGTAGTAGCGATGGAGTACTAGTTGGGGAGCCTCTCTCTATGCATCCGTTTCTAATAAGTTGAGCATGTACCTTTATTGTTGTCATTACTACCACGTATATTATCTCGCTACCTGCTCAAATTATTTCATTTATTATAATTCACGTTTGACTACGATTTTTAGCAAGTTAGTTGGAAAAAACAAAAATTAGAATTCTAGTTACATGGCGGCGTTTTTGGCTGAATTAAATACGTGAAAATGTCATTACCAAGTTGAAAACTCGTTTCGTTGCCACAACCGAATTATTTGCTTTACTTACTTATAATAAAATTATAGAGAAAAAAACACTTTTGATCTTGGCCATTTGCTTCAAAATTGTATTTAAATGCCGTCAAAATTATTAAAATTTTATCATGAAAATTGCCCATAATCTGAGAATCATCCATTAAAAGGACATTGGAAATTGTGTCTTCCATTATATTTTGACATTAAAAAACTAATATATATTTTCTCAACAAAATTCAAACTATAAATTATTGAGCATATATGTGTTAATTTATTTAGAATGACAGTTTTAGACAATTTACTCTTCTTGGTCTGTCTGTTTTATTCATTCAACAGAACCACCATTTTTTTTTGGAAAGCATTAAAGGAGGCAATCTTATCCAGAGTGTTATTTTTTAAATTGTTTAATTTTGAAATTTTTATTTAACATAGGGATGAAGTTGACAGCCCTGAGAGGAAGAATTTAGTTCCTGAACGAATGAGTCCTCATTCATTGTCAGATTCAGGGCATTTTGAAGAACTTAGCCCAGAACCTATGTCAAAATTACAGGTAATCTATATTAAAATAGATTTTTAAAATATAAAAATTTTAATATAATTATGTATAAATTTAATTTATTTGGCTGTAAGTTGATTTTTTTTTTTTTTTCATATCTGCTAATTATAAAATAAAGTTATTATTCATTTCACATTTATGTATTAATTATTTTAATTGAAAAATATATAAAAACATCTCAAGTTAATAAAAAGAATAATCAATACAGAAATTACAATAACATTTAAAAATATATGTGTCAATATATAGTTACATAAATTGCCAACCACTACTATTATGTTTAACTAATACTAATATTAGTACTAACACTATTATGTTTTAAGCAGAATTTGAGATTTTTTAGAAAAGAATAAAAAATTAAATATTGATAGTTTAAGATGTGATTAGAAAAGAACAACAAACGGCTTTATGTCTTCAAGAAGACACAAACAAAGAAAAATCAACTTTACTTTGTATAGTGGCTGTTACTAATACGGAAAAATCATTTTAAAAAAATTTTAAACTGTACTTTTGTAATTGAACTAATTGATCTTCATTAGTTTTCAAATTTTTTATTTTTAAATGAATTATATATAACTATTTATTTTATTTTAAAATAGACTTAGATCTTGTGGTTAAATTTGATCATAACACTGTACTTGTTGATAAATGATAATAAAAACCTGAACAACAAAAATATTGGAAACAAATCTAATATCTTGGTCTGATTTCTAAGAATTTATTTTAGCCAGTAGCAGATTCAGAATTTAATTTTTTTGAGGAGGGAGGAGAAATATATTTTTTTAACAGTAATTACTCTGAATGAAAAAAAAAAATCTACCTATATAAAATGATGTTTAAGTGGTACTAGAAGGAGAAAAAAGTAATTAATGCTTTTAGTTATAAACTTATTATATTTTTTCTTGACACGTTCTTACTTTTAGCATTATATTTTAAAAAGAGAATATTATTGTTCTTCTTCTTCTCTTCTTCTTTGTCTTCCTCTTATGCCATTAATTAGCGTCGAGGAGCCTCAACCAGTGCAGCCACTCTTCACGGTCCCTGCTTAGTCGCTTCATCTCATTAAGGGTTTTGCCTCTTTTACATCCAATCCTTTGAATGTAATCCTGGAAAGTGAGTCTGGGGCGTCCGCGTGGTCTCCTTCCTGTGGGTCGAGCCTCTAATATCCTTATAGGATTCAAATTCTCATTCATGCGGCAGACGTGTCCAAACCACTGGAGTTGCCGTCTTTCTAAAGTAGTTTTAAGTTCGGCAACTCCTAGCTGCTCTCTAATGCTTTCATTCCTAATGCGATCCCTTCTAGTTCTGCCAACAGATCTGCGAAGGAACCTCATTTCTGCTGCCGTTATGCGACTAGAGTGCCTGTCTAGCATTGTCCAGCTTTCTCCGCCGTAGGTGAGTGTAGGTAGGTAAACAGACTTATATACGTGCATTTTGGTCTTCTTGTCTACTTCGCGATGGCCGATAATGCTATTAGTAGTCTGGTAATATACCTGATTCGCCTTACATATTCTACTTGATATTTCGGCGTCTATCTTACCAGAACTACTAATTACGGTCCCCAGGTAGGTATATTCAGTCACCACCTCAAGTGTCTCGCCATTGCAGATCAGCTGAACATCTTCTCGCTCTTCCCTCGTCATAACCAGCACTTTACTCTTGGAGGTGTTAATTTGCATCCCTTTCCTGAGCAACTCTTCCTCCCACTCTACCAAAGCTTGTTGTAGTTTGGTCTTTGTGTCGGCTATTAGGACTATGTCATCCGCGTATAGAAGGCTTTGTATGAGGACAGTTCTCAGATTCCACTTCCCAATTGTTGTCCACGCAGTTCGGCGTTTACAGATTTTGTGGATTTCATCCATTACATTTATAAATAGAAGGGGACTTAAGCTATCTCCCTGTCTAACTCCTCTCGCAATTGGAAAAGGTTCAGATTCCATACCGTTCATCCTTACCACTGCCATGGCTCCTTGATAGGCTGACTGTATGGCCGCCAGCAAGTCTCCAGGTACACCCTTGGCTATTAGGGCATTCCAAATTTCTTTTCTTGGAACCACATCAAACGCTGACTTCAGATCAAGGAACGCAAGATACAGATTTTTATCTCTGTCCCAAGCTTTTTCAGCAATATTTCTGAGAACAAAGATGTGATCCTGCGTCTGTCGGCCTGGACGAAAACCAGCCTGTTCCGCTTCTAACTGCCCTTCCACAATCCGTCGGAGTCTCCTTTCTAGTATAGAAGTATAAAGTTTATAGACCACTGATAGCAGACTAATGGGTCTATAATTTTTGCAATCTGTCGTGCATCCTTTTTTATAAATCGGGAGGATTATACAATATTCCCAGTCCATGGGAATTTTCTTTCTGTCATATACTTCTTGGAACAGCGATTGTAGTGCTTTAAGAAGTTCTTGACCACCGAATTTTAAATATTCTGGTGCGATTCCATCCCTTCCTGATGCCTTACCTCTTTTTAGCTTATGGATTGCATTTTCTATTTCTTCTTCCTCTATAACCTCCAGGCTTTCTTGAATATTGGGCTCTTGTTCTTGATAATGGTCTGTTTCTGGATTTTCGGAGAATTGTTCCTGGAAATATTCCTTCCATCTGCCAAGGATCTTTTCCTTGTCTGTAAGTAGGATTCCATCACTACCTTTTACATTTCTAATAGGCTTGCATTGTTTTCCTCTTAACATCTTAACTTTTCGCCAAAATGTTCTTATAGATTCGCGGTGATCCTCGCTCAGCCTTTTATTATAATATTATTATTAATATTATTGTTCAAAAAGAAATATTTTTCTATTTCGGGAGTGAGCTTCAAACTGTGAAACAGTTTTTATTTTATTTTATTTTTTTTGTTAATCTGGAGGTTTTCAGGCATATATGAGAAATTATGTTCTTTGTCCACAATGTCATTAAATCAAAGAACATATATCAACAGCCATCTTTTTAAAAGCTTGTAAGTGCATGAATTAAAATTCCTTAGTTAAAATAAAATGCATATTTTTTGTTTTATGATATATATCGCTACTGTTAGTGCAAAGGGTCATATGTCAAAAATAATTTTTTTTATAGAACTGATTATTTCCTTATGATTTATTAATATAATTTCGTATTTTATTTATCTCTACTATTTTCTATTATAGCATTGCAGCACAGTAACATTTCATAACTTATTTCAGGTGCAGACTACAAAATGTCTCCTTCTTTTATCATAAATAGAATGAACATGGAAAATTGTTACATACAACTTTTTGCACTAACACGAGTGATATGTTGTTTTTACATACTGATTTTAAAATTTTTCTTTTCAGCTTTCACCATGTCAAGCTGCTTCATCCTCAAGTGTAGAAGTATTAATTCATAAGTTATCAGAAGCAAATGAAAGGTATGAAATTCTCCGTATTAATATTTTCCTTTTCTTACAAAAAATTAAATAAATAAAAATAATAAACTCAGTGGACCCCTCATAAGTGGGATGTGGATACATTTTATGACTTTTCAAACATTTGTTGAACCAATGTCAGATTCAATCTGTATTGCTGAAGTTAATGTATTAAATTAAATTTTTAAAAAATGAAATCTTCAAATAAATATATTATTTTTATTTAATTCCCAGTTTTATATTGTATTTATCAATAATTTATTCGTTAATTTTCTATAGAAAATAAATTACAGTCCATGTATGGACTTCAAATATGTAATAAATATAACAATGATAATTAATAATAAATTTTCGTATCTTTTGGAGATAAGATCTGTGGATTGTTTTTAATAGAGATAACGATAGTTTTTGTAATAACACCAGAATAAATAAATGTTTAACTAATCAAATATAAATAAAATTAAGTTGAAAATTATTCTAATGAGAAGTATTATATCTAAATTCAATCTATCCATTTTTGGAAAATTGTTCTTAAAAATTATTATGGAGGCTTTTCTTATAGATGAGTCAAATTTTTACTGAAAATATAAAATTGTAAGAAGTAAGAACATAAAATTGGCGACGAGGATGGGATCCGAACGCACGCATGCAATGTGCAATGTCCTTACATAAACATTGGTGAAAAAAAAAGTAACTTATGTACTGGTACTTGTACTGCTAATGTACGGGGTGAACTAGTCCGTCAAGTAGGCCCTATCATGGTCCTCATGCCATCCTCTGACGGTTACCTTGAAGTTGCCGCCACATACTAACCAGAGTAGAAATGTCACGATCCATTTCCTGGGGCCACTGAGAATTACAAAGTAGTCGACCCAGGTTTGAATCGAACCCACAATGTTCAGAAACGGGCACTCTGGTACCCACATCCCAACGTGCTCGGCCATCCTGTCCTCAACTGTTATATAAGGTTATAAATAAATTATGTTCAATCAATAATTTGGAATCTTGTATTCTCTTGCTTTCTGATGCTGGATATCTTTAGTTACTTTATTTTTTAATATATAAATATCGTTATATTAAAAAAAATATATATATTTTATCTTTGATTTAACAACTACGAATACTTACTCTTTTTGGTATCCCCTACAATAACTCTAAAATGCTTTTTGAATATGTCTTAAGTGTATTTTGACACTGAAGAGTGTTTGATTAATCTAAGGTAGGTGCTGTAATCTAATCTTGCAACCTTATTTCATCAAACTACTGTTATGTTTACTATGATTTGCTATATTCTTTTGCGTTTCTTCTACGTTTACATAGATATTCATTAGGTGTAAAATAAGATTTTATTTCTTGAAAGCATGTATTGGTCAATTGACTGATAATTTGCTCCAGTTTATTTAATCAAACATTGTGAAATTGTTGGACATATTATCAGTTTAATATTTATGAAATCAAAAGAAAAAATTATTTGGATTTAAGATTTTCTTTATATTATATTTATTTCTTTATTATTTTTGTTTTAATAAATTAAATAACCACAGAAAAATAATTATAGTTATATTTTAAGATTTTGTTACAGGTACTATGAGTTAAAACCTCAATATGAAGATCTGAAAAAACGATTAGAAGCTTTAGAATTGGAAAGAGATCAACTGAAAGCTAAGTTTCAAGAAAGCGAGGAAAATCACAGAAAAACTTACCTTGAAATGTTTAAGAAAGGCCAGCAAGCTGCTCTTTTTCAGGTATTTTATATATATCATTATTGGGTTGTAAATTAATTCATTCATTCATCATAAATTAATTATTGGAATCTGTAAGGTCATATAGTTGCAGAAAAAATTATTGATATAACGAAGTTTGAAATGATATTTTAAGCGAATTCTTCTTAATTTTTTTTATCTCCATTGTACAGTCCAAATATTTTATTTTATTTTTATTGTTAAATTGAAATAAAATAATATTAAAACTTGCTTTTTTATGAAGTCCTTTAATGCAATATATATGTATATATATATATATATAAAAGTCAATAAAGAAAAAAGAAGGAGATTCCAAAGTCTATGGATTATTAGTGAAAAAAAAGAACACAATATGCTTTGGTAATGGTTGTGATAGTATACCTGTTAATGTTCAGCAAGCTAAGGTGTCAAGTTTATTTTTTTTCATATTCCATTGTGGTCTTTTTTATGACTCCTATCTAGAGGTTGCCGTCATGTTACTACCCACTATGGGAACGTCAGATGGCCTGGAGTGTTAAGGCTTCATAACCTTAGCAACCTTGAGTCTAATGGAGCTAATTTGAATCCAGCAGAGTGTCAAGGTTCATTTCTCAGGTTGTCAATAAATGAGCATTAACTGAACAAGGTGATAATCGAACTCACAACGTTCAGAACGGCGTTCTCTGGGATCCTTGCCTCGGTTGCCTCTTCCTCAATAATACTATAATCATATGGGAATATACATATATCTCACATGGTTCAATTACACCTGTAAAATGTTTTTATTACCAGGTGCAGTGGTTAATAATCCTTAATCTTTCTTTTTAAATTGGGAGAATGGTAAAAAATTGTTTATTCAATGTATGCGCCAGCACTAGTTATACATTTTCCCCATTTCTCTGGCAATTTGTGGATGCCCTGCTAGAAAAATCATACATCTTTTGAGATGGCCCAATCATCAACCCTTTTTACGATATCTTTGTGATTTTTAAAATGTTTCATGGAGATTGCATGAGATATCCTGGTTATTTTTCTATCAATCCAGGTTTAAATTGATTATTTGTTGATAGTAGTGAACAGTGTTTAACCTAGTTTCAGAAGCTCATTCTACACGACATCCTTCTGATCCTGCCAAATGCAATGGTCAATCCATGACTTGCTGAGTTTTGGATTCTCGAAATGTATTCATTTTTTGGCTCTAGTCACATTGTGATGCAAAAAAGTCTTTTGTTTTATGCATAAAAAAGCAAAATTTTGCTCATCATTCTTCAATTTTCTATCTATCTGTCATCCAACTAATGTGTTCTCCATTTTCCTGCTTTCTTGATCTTTCGCATTGCATGCAGTTGATCACAAATGGTTCAGCCACCTACATTTAATATCTCTGCCGTTTGTTGTTGAGTTTGGGTATCATATAACAATACTTGTAATTCTGCATCTCAAAATTTTGTTGGTTGACCTGGATGTTCTTTGTCTTTCAAGTCAAAAGCATTACTTTTGAATCATCTTAACTAATGTGTCCAAGCATCTTGCATTAGGACATTATCATCATTAGTTTCCAGAAGTATACGACAGCTTTCACTCACCTTTTTCTTTAGATTGAACGAGAAAAGAAGTATGTGCCACAAATGCTTTTAACTTGGCTTTGAACTCGACATGTTTACCATACGCAAAAAAAAAATATGAGGCTAATCTAAAATTGTTTAAATGTTACGGGCATTTGGAAAGGTGTTCTCTTTGCAAAGAAAAATAAGATTAGAGGTTAAATTGTGAATCACTCATTTCCAGCATCATATGTTAAAAAAAATTAAGGATTGTTTTCCTTTCAGGTAGAAGATAATCATCAACCTGCTGAAGAAAGTAAGTCTGAAGGCGTTCCGAACCTTTTAAAGGAGTTAGAAGTTACAAAACAAGAGCTTGAAAGTGTTAAGGTATTCACATAATTCTTAACGTCTTATTAATTTTTTTTTATATTCATGGACATAAATAAAACAGCCTGCAATATAGCTAATCTATGAAGAATGTGTGAGTTTGTATTTAATCAGTCTCGTAATAAATTAAATTTTGTGATTATATATTTGTAACTTATACTATCACATTCTTTGTTTAAACTTTAAAAAAATTGATACTAACCATGAGCTCAATGCACCGGACAGGATATAGATTTCTGGAAGAAGGAGAAGTTGCTCAGTGGAACAGAGGCTGTTTCTATTTGGAATCTTTGTCGAAAGGTTTGTATTTTTATCCTGCACGAGGTAAATTCCTTTGCATTTCAGAAACCCACATATGCACTAAGAACACCCTGGCTTGTTGTTATATGTTTCCAAACTAGTAGAAATTAATTGTTGTATATATTTTCTAGCACTTTGAAATTCAATTATAATCATAGGTTAATAGTATAATTTCATTAGTAGTGATTTATTTGGTTTCAGTGAATTACTTAACTTCTCTGTCATTTCTATAAATTGCTACAAGTATTTGGTTGGTATATTTTTGTCCGTTACTTTTTGAAATCATTTTGAATTATAATTTCAGATAACTTATGAGAAAGTCTTATGAAATTTATTCACTATTTTTATTTATCTTTATGATAGAAAGATTGGTAGCAGGAAAAGCTTTTGTGCTTTAAAGCATGCTTCCTTCATTTGGGTGTTGAGTTTATAATATTTTTCCGTAGCTTTATATCCACTTAATACTCTGATGTATAGTTAATCGATATAAAAAATAGGTTCTTAAACTATGGTCCGCGGATCCTTGAGGTTCCTCATTGCCATTTCCAGAGGTCTACGAAATAATTTGAAATAACTTTACATCCTCCAGCTTTTCACTTTTATTTGAATAGCTTGTTTAATAAAAATTCCACATGTTTAACCTTTTTATATTTGTTGTAACTGAAGTAGTTATTAAGATAATAATTCATATGATCGGTTTGGGGTGTGTAAAAAAAATTTTGTCCAAGAGGGGGTCCTCGGACTATATAAGTTTAAGAACTCCTGATATAGAATAATGGAAATAGATTATATATGTGTGTGTGTGTTTAATTATTAACTATAATATGCTAATTGCAGAACTATTTTATTTTGAATATCAGTTTTTAGTTTACTCCATAATTATGCTTTTATTTAACAGTATAGATAAATTATTTAAAAAAAAAGTTTTATTGAAAAAATTGCTTTTTTAAAAATATTTAATACATTTTTGTCTATTTAAAAATGATATATAATTGAAACTAAGATATGTAGAACTTGTAGATTCCTTCAACCAAATTTATAAATAACTCGCCATTTACTTATACTTCACTATTTTATCTAGTAATAATAATTATAGTTAAAGCTGTAAGACTTTTTTTCAAGATTAAAGAAAAAAAAAGTTAAATTTTGCTTATACGAACTTGATAGAACCAGGGAATAGGTTGCAACAGTTGAGAGGTTAGATTTACCTGAAAAAAAGAATGTTTTGCATATAAATAGTGCTTTTTGTTTTGTTCATTAGATATATAGTGTAGTAGGGTGGGGTAACCTAGTGGGCTAACATGTATATAAAATACCTGTTACCCGCCAACTTGATAAACCGAAGATTACTAGTTCAAATCCAAAAGTGCCCTGTGCCAAGGAGACTTTTAATTTTAGCATAATTCCACACCCTCTCTGATGGCCCAAGAAAAATTCCGTATAGTCTGAAAGGCAAGGAAGGAAAAAAAAAAGGACACATATGGTGTATTTAGTAGGAGAAGTTAAATGAATAGTTGAGATGCTTGGAGAAGCAAAAGGAGTCGTTGGATTTTAGGATTACATTCAGAGATTAAATTAAACATTGCCTTATTTTATAACAAAATGTCATTGTTTGTCCTCTTAACTGTAGAAAGTTAATTTTTTCAAAATCTTACATTCAAAAAATTAAGTATTCAAAACAATAGTCTAGTATTGAAGATAAACATAAACACACATAAGGATGAAACAAAAATGTAAGGAATTTCAGTAGCAATTTTATGGTTTATTATTTTCAATAATGAAACATTGTGATCGAACAATAAATTTAAAAACTTAACCCCCTCTCAAAATTTGAGGTTTTACGTTTCAGGTTACGTAGAATTCGAAAAACGAATAAAAATTTTTTGTCTGTACGCCGTCCTCGCATTTTCTCTGAAACTACTGGACCGATCTTTTTCAAATTTGGATTTAAAATTAGAGGTCAGCTGAGGATGATCCTCCTTCATCAACATTTCTATCCGCATTTTTCTTTCAAGATGGCGACCTGTGGCAAAAAACCTGTGTAGCTATAAACTGTAGCGCCTAAACGAATGTACCGATTTCAATGAAACTTTGCTTAAATCGTCTTCTTGATTCCCTTTAAATTTATTTATATAATATACTTCAACGAAAAGAAGCTGGAAAAAAAGTTACGAGGGATGGTAAAATTAGATTCCGAATAACTCAAAAATTATACACTTTTTTGTCAATGTTGTGATAAGATATTTCAAAGGTATTTAAATTTTCTAAGAAATGAAGAAAGTTTCATCAAAATCAAAGCATTATTAGTAAAGATATTGCGATTTTTAAATATTTTTGGTTTATTTATTTTCAATAATAAACCATTGTGATCGAACAAAAAATTCAAAAACTTAATCCCCTCTCTAAATTTGAGGTTTTATATTTCAGAATATGTAGAATTTGAAAAACGAATAAAAAATTGTTTGTCCAATATTGTATATAGTTATTTAAAAGATTACGGAATTTCCTAAAAAAGAAATAAATAGTTAAAATTGGACAATTAGGAGTAAAGATATGGCCTCTAGATTTTTTTTATATGTTATACTGCAAAGGTTATATCCTTTGTTTTGATCTTTAAATGTGTTACTGAAATAATGATAATTTTGTAAGCATATTACTAATTAGAAAAAAAAAGTTTAGTCCAATAATTGGAATCACGTTTTATTTCTTTTTCTTTGTCACTAGGAAGGTAATGTTACTTTAGATGTATAATTGTTTGGAAATAATTGTTTTAAAACTTTCATCCAAGACATATATTTCAGTTTTTTTTTCTCTGCCCTCTCTTAGTAGAATTTTTTATTTTAAAATATGATTTATAAATAAATTAAAAATATAAAAATGGTTCACCAGAAGTACACCTCACACTGGGGCACAGGTAGATCTACGAGGGAAGGGCTTTCGGACCAAACCATGTTTTATATTAACTCTATCATGAGTCAAAGTTTTGCAATATTTTCATGCAAGAATTCCATTCCTCTAATAATACCTACTTATATGTAATTTATGACTTACATTGAACGAAGACAAATATTTTTGATCCAGTCAATGAAATTTCCTTTGAGATACTGTAATGTAATCATTTTTCTTTTATTTTTTTTTTTTTTTGGCTTTAAGACTTGTAAAAGCAAGTCCTATTTTGCCAGTAAAATATTTTATTTGTCATAGTGAGATGAAATTACGGTTTTTAGACGGAAATTACACTGGATTTACATTAATTATTTATAGTTAGATGATAACTGAAAGTAACTTATATGGGACTTGGATATTAGATATTAGATAGATATTATGGATTCTAGAAAGACTAATGGTTAAAAACTGAGATGAATTAGAATTACGATGCTTTGATGTCATTCATGAACTTTATCAAGTCACGGGTGTTATCTTTGTCCATCGACCGAAGAAAGTTAGCTCCATCATCTGTATTTTGCGATCCTAAACTGATTCTTCTTAGTTTCTCGAACCTTTTGCACTTGAAGGCAATGTGTCTTGGATCCTCCAAGCATTGGCATGTTGGGCAGTGACCAGTCTTAGCTAGACCCATTAGATGAAGATATTTATTTGTTCTACCATGGTTTATCCTAAGCCTGGTCAGCTTTACTAAGCTGGAGCGGTCGAGATGAGATTTAAGGGTCGCAAACCATGGAATCAGTGCAATCTTCTGTTGAACTGCATGATGGTCCTTACCCTTCGAGGCACATTCCCAGTCGTAGAAATGCTGCCAGTCTTTCATTATTTTCCCCCTTACTACTCTTATCAAATCCAGTAAAGGGTCCTACGCGTGTAATGTAATCATATAATCATGACACTGGGGAGGGGGAGAGGAAAGAGCAAGGCACTTATTGCCTCAGCAACATTGTATGAAGAAGGCCACTTCATCCAATATTTTGCAGTCATTGATTTATTTTATTGAGCTTATAAATGGCTCAAAAAAAAATTAAAAGTTAGGTGGGAGGATTAATGCCAGAGTTAAAAAGGCACCAGCACCTGGATGCGGACTTGTAATCATTTTACCGTGTAAACTTCGGTTTATCAATAGCCTGTGTAAGTCATAATGAGTTACTCCTGTATGGCATTCTAACTCCCTCTTCCCTCCCGTGCTTTAAAGTCTGTTTCGTTACTCTAACCTTTGTCTCACCCAAGTACTGGTGCCAATGATTGTAATAAATATCTATGCTTTACTAAATAATTTAATAACAAAATTGTTGGCAAAATTCTAGGTTTACTAGTAAATTTCCTTTATTGTAAATGTTTTTTTTCCCCCCTTAATGCTCTATTGAGACACATTTTAATCCGTTTTCTGTAGTTACTAAAACACAGAATACCCAGTATTCAATCTGTTAATAATGAAAATTAGTAAAAAATAAATACTGTATAAATTAACAAATAGAAACAGCCTCACTTCAGTGTTTTCAGGTAAGTTTTTTTAGAATGAAAGATATGTGTTGTTTTACTTGTTTATCGTGATTGTTCTTTTTAGCAGTATTGAATGCATGATAGCAATTGTTTTGTATCAAAAAATTAATTATATTTTTAATTGGCATGCTCTAAATAAAATCTTATATTTAAAAATAAATTTGATTATATACTTTTAATGAAGATTTTCATAATATCAATATGACATTGAAATTTATTTACCTATACAGCTTGATTTTAATCAAAAA